TAGAACACAGCAGGGAACTAAATATGGTATTTGTAAACCAGGAGAAAGCGTTCGACGGAGTGAACAGAAACAATCCGTGGACAGAACTCGAAAACTACACTGTAAGAGGCCAACTGATAGATAACATCCGTGCCAATTACGAGGACAGCATAAGTACAGTAAGAACGTTAGAAGGACTCACAGAATGGTTCGAGATAATATCCGGAGTAAGACAAGGTTGTGTCCCATTACAACTACTATTTATCATATATACGGATAGAATTACAAAAAAGGCCAACACACAACCAGAAGCCCTAAGTGAATTACTCTTCACTGACAACCAAAGCCTGGCACATTAAGATGAACAAAGTCTCCAACAACACACCACCAGATTAAACGAAGAATGTGACAACTGCGACATGAAAATCAACATCAACAAAACAGAGACAACGAAAGTAAACAGAAAGCCAGGACCACTCAGGATACACATCAACAACAACAGTCTCAGACTGGTCCAAGAATTTAAATACCTCGGAAGTATTTTCACTGAGGATGGGCGACTGAACAGAGGCATTGAAACACGAGTACAAAAGACCAATACTATAAGTTACCAGCTTGCTCCACTTCTGAAACATCCTAACATCGCCATGACAACAAAACTCAAAATGATGAACACCATATTCATCCCAACACTCACCTATCAATGCCAAATATGGACCACGAACAAGACATTGGAGCAAAGAATTACAATATGTGAAATGCGATGTCTTAGAAAAGCAGTAAACAAGACCAGGTGAGACAAAATTAGAAACTGAGTAGTCAGAGAAATCGTGTGCACAATTATGATGTCATGCATCACACCCAACAACAAAGAATCAAATGGTTCGGACATCTCATACGGTTACCAACACACCTTCCAGCACAAAGTGCTTACATAAAAAATGCAAAGGCAACAAGGCTAGAGGGCGACCGAGAATGACCTGGATAGATGGAGTCAGGGAAACATTAACAACTAATGCCATGGCTCTGACCCAAGCTCTCCGGCTGATGGCAGAGAAACGTCTCTTTCTTCCCGCGATACCCAAAAGGGTATAAGCGGCGGATAAAAGTAAAAGTAACGTAAATTTATTTTTGCATTTTGCCCAAAGTCCTCTTACTGACAGATCCCGCTTCCTTTAGACACCATGTAGCCTATTGGCGGAAAAAGTCACTGTTAAATAAAGGAGGGAAAAAATGAGAAAACATGGGTGGCGGGTGCCTCTATAAATAAATCATTGATGGTCAAAACGAAAAGAAAAAGAGGGGTATAAACACGGGGGAAAAGTCTAATTTAAATGCCAAAAGAATTAGTATGTAAAGTTGAAAATATTAATCAAAACCAACACATTGTGTTACCTGAATTGTCAGCCTACGCTATTTTTAAATTATTTATTACCTTTTCTTCTTGATCAGTTAATTACATTTTACGTAACAGGTCGATATCCCAGCCAATTAAAGATTTGAATAGTTTGCCTCAGATCGGAAGTATTACGAATATTAGCAGATTACTGCACAATTAAAACACAATATATAAACCCTTCACGCACGTAGCTGTGCACCAATTCCGTTCAACACGTATTGGGTAAGTATACTTCTCTCTTTGAGCCAATTAAAAAAGTGTCCTCAAAATTCGGTGGCGCCCTCTTCGCAAAAGCGCACCTTTTGCGAACAGAGTTATCCTACTTGAGTTAAAAAACTTAAAGTGAAACTAGCAAGTTTTTGAATGAATTTCGGAAGAACGCTTTTTAAAAATGGTTACGCTGACAAAAAACCTCTTCCGGAGGAAAGGGTGGTTGTTTTCTTCGTTTAATTTGACCTTAGAATGAAAGGCGAGAGGTCATTAAAATATTTAAAAAACTAAAACTCCGCACTGAACGAACCCGAACTGCTGATGAACAGCAGTCGATCTGCGCACGCAAGGAGGTGCTATTCCTATTCTTCTTCTGAAAAAACGAAAGAGAGCTTCAAAACAGACTGCAGCGCCATCTGAAGCAAAGAGCGTACTTCCTGCGGACACATTTTTGGCTGAGTGGCCCATCTTGTTATTTACTATCTTTGTCTTCCTACGGCATATCATGATAATCAGTGTACAGTCGAACCTGTGTAAGACGGCCACGCATTGTCGAGGAGGAAAATGGCCGTATAGGACAGGTGGCCGTCTTAGGCAGGACTGATCAAAGTGAAAACCCCCCAAAGCAATTGCTTCTGAGGTACCAACTGGAGGTGGTCGCAGGTTTAGGATTGCCGATGAGCTCATAAAAATGTAGGGGGTGGGGGGGGGGGGGAGGGCTATGGTAGTTCTGTTTATTTTTTTCTTTTAAAAAGAGTAATAGGACGGTTTTGAGGTACTTTTTGTTGTTACTTAAATTATTGATATTTTTAAAAATTATGGTTCCGTGAAAGGTAAAAACAAAACGAATAGGGAAAGACGAGGAAGGCCAAGTGCCATAGTAAAATAAATCAAATGGGTCGCTACCACTCGACGAACTAGTGACGCTTCTGTTGCAAGTTTGGGTTAACTTTCATTGTTATGGACTGGGATTACGGATTGAGTTGTGAGCATGCTTAAAGCTTATGACGGAACACAAGCTTCTTTTACTAGCAGCTGAAGATTTATTGTTACCCATTGGTCAACTTCGGTAAACATTGGGAGCGACCTAATAAACAACATGACCGTTTTATCCATTGGAGGAACTGATTATAATGACAGGTGAATGAATAATGACAGCATATCCACAGCGTCAGGGGAAGAATGCATAATTTTTTACAAAGCCTGTCCGTCTCAGGCAGATAATTTTAACCCTTGGTTGATAAAATAGGGTGGCCGCGGCAGACAGGTGCCCAGTTAAAATATATAGAATAAACACAAGGGGGGAAGGGATGGAAAGTGGCCGTTAGTACAGGTGACCGTATTATACAGGTGGCTGTCATGGCATGTTCGACTGTACTATTATAGGGTAACCCAGATTTCGAGGGTTTCCAGAAATGTTGACCTACACCAAAAGTGGGCATTGCTCTACCTAAGGGAGAAGTTTGGTTTCATTGGTGTGTATATTTGGTTGGTTATATAGAGAAAACTCTCCTTGTCTTTTAAAGAAACTGAACCAGGGGCAAAAACTTTACCACCGATTTTCTCAAAACAGCATTTTTCGGGACAGCCATGTTGTGCTTAAAAGCGACCGTATCATGTTCTTCATGTATATTAAGAATTCAAGGTGACTCTTTAAGTAGATAGTTGAGGTGAGAGTATGTTGAAACTACCCTAGTCTGTTAGCTAGAATGTAATAAACTGTCACTGGAGAAGTGAGGCCTGTTGACAAAATTGTGAGTTACTTCTCGCAATCCACGAATGGAGATATTGTTAAAAAAGAGACACATGAAAAGTGTAGATTTTAAACTGACGCCATTTTTCCTTCAAGTCAAACATTTATTTTATCATTTGATATTATAATGAATTGTTCAAACCCAACCTATATTTCTTGCATTTATGTGTATTCAAACGGCTGAAATCCGAGATTTAACTCATTTTGTCAGCACATCCAATGATCTTTTCAGGTTATTAAACGAATCGTTTATAAATGAAGGGTTCTGGGTAAATGGAGACATGTGACTGAGACATCTTTGTCTTTGAATCATTCTTCTAAAAAAAGAACTGACAAAAAAAATTACATTCTGACATCTAAGAAATAATAGTATTATTTGACAAGTAGTGTTCGTTCCTGTTACCTCTATGAAGTAATATTTTTCTTCTTGTTCCTGTTAGCGCTATAAAGCCTTTATTGTTCTTATTTCTGTTGTTCAATTCAACAGTTTGCTTTTGTTTTGTTTGTTTGTTGGTTTTTGTTGTTGTTGTTGTTGTTGTTGTTTTTTTTAGTTGCTGTTTTTGTTTGTTTGTTTGTTGTTGTTTTTTGGGGCTTTTTTGTAGATTATAAAGTAATAGTTCTTGTTTCTGCCCCCTCACTCTCTGCCCCTCCCCTCCCCCCTTTCAGATCAAAATGCAGTCCCTCGTAGCCATTATGTGCCTGTCACTTCTCGTCCTGGCTTCCACCAGTGAGGGGAAACATGCAGCTAAAGGTATGTGTCTGACGCCACTACTCATCCTCATAAGAAGTACTGTTGGAAAATTCTGAGAGTTCGTGTCCCACCAGAGTCGCACTTTTTATCTGGAAAAGATTGTGACCAAAAGGCTGGCAAATTACCAAGAGAGGAAAAAGTTCCTTCCAGACGGCCTTAAAAGCTACAGACCAGGAAAAGACACCTGCACAAACACTGCTGTGTTAGCCTTTGATGTAGTTGAAGGGTTCCAGAGAAGGGAGAAGACAGCGATGGCTGCTATAGACCTAAAGCATGTTTACAACCGAGTCGATTACGGCAAGCTCATGGATCTCCTGATGGAAATGGATGTTGACCCCTGGTTGATACAATGGATCTCCGAAGCTCTGTTTGAGAGGAAGGTGGCGCTGAGAAGTGGGCGATAGAGGTCAGACTCAGTAGTGATTGCTTCAGGACTGCCACAAGGATACGCCTTATCACCGGTCCTGTTCAACAAAGATTCTACCCCTCCAATTATGTTTGACCAATTTCTCATAGACAGACAGCATGGGTTGAAGTACCTGGGAATCACTCCGGACTGGACACTTTCTTTCCGATAACATATTATTGACAATGTTGCTGTCAGGGCTCAGAAGGGCATTCATGTATTGAAGATCTTGACTTCAGCGGGAATCCAACAGAGAGTTCTTTTTCTCCTAAAGCAGCTGGTTGTTCTGTCAGTCAAAGACTATGGTCTGGGCATCCTTTCCCTGTCCAAGACTCAGATAGACAGGTTGGGGAGAGTACAGAATGCTGTCTTTATGAGATACATCCTTGACCTGGCTAGCACCAGAGTGAGGCAATAGGTGGCACAGGCAAAGCTGTACTTGAACGTTTTGGGAAACCCGAGGCACACTTTGTATGACAACCTAAGCAGCATCAAAGGAAATATGATCAGACTGGGCAGCTCATGGTTTTCTGAGGACTTCTTGAGGAAAGTTTGTGGCATCGATGAAATGTGCAGTGGAAAGGAATGGTTTGAACTGAGCCCCGATGGCAGAAGCCTGGTCAACGTTCACATCACTATGGGTCGTAAAAGACGGGAATGTGCTGTTGTCATTAACGACAATGACATACGACTGTTAATTGAGAAGCACTCTAAGCCAGAGGATCCAGTGATCTAAAAGGATGGATCGGTCAGGAGGGGTGAGAGAAGTTAGTGGGGTTCACAGCATGCCAGGGGCCGTAGAAAGAACACCTTCAAACATGAAAATGGAAATCGAGGCCGTAACAAGAGTGCTTGGCTGGCTTCAAAATACAAGACCAAGAACTACCCATCTCATTATTGTCACAGACTCCATGAGCATCCTGTTGAGAAAGGGCTGCTTCGGAGTGAATGGAGGAACCCAATACAACACTCTTCACTTAGAGCCATCACGTGAATATTCTGTCTTGGGCACTCTGGGGTGAAGGGTAATGAAGTATTAAAGGCTCTGGAGGAAAAGTTGCGGGATGAGGAAGACAGGGAGACAGCAGAACACCACGCAATCATCAGGATGCAGGAAATGGGGACAGAGAGGGGAGAAGGAGGAAAGGAACGATTATCTGGAAAGGAAAGACGTCGTCATAATCAAACAGCCACTTGAACAATTAGTATGGATACCTTGCGAGCTTTGGTGCTGGGAGGAACTGAGCACTTATGGACCAGTCCGGTGTGCAATGTCGTTGTTGCCTTGCCCAGGACAGGTAATACGGGTAATACAGGTCTGAGATTGGGCTTGGGGGAGGGGGCTTGTGGGATTAAAAAGTGGGATTTTTGTAAGATCAGGCAGCGGCAGATGAGAACCTTTAAAAAGAAAGAAAGAAAGATAAAAAAGAAGGTTTTTTTTACCATCTAGCATAAGGCTATTGTCAGAATAACCCTCAGTGTGTATTTGTCTTTCGAGTATGTATCTATATAACTCCAAAGGTCTTCGAATTAAACTCCTGCATGTGGTTGTGAGATGCATCTGATGTGATATGTACTTTTTGTCAGCTTTACTTCTCTTTTCATATTGAATTTTCTTCTTCTATCCCGTTCTTTTTGTTGGGGCAACGGTGGGGGCAACACTGCATTTGAAAACCAGCTCTCGCCATCTATTTTCTGCTTTCCTCAGATTGTCACCCATCGACTTTCCTGTCTACTCTGTAATGTTGTCCTCCCATCTCCTTCTCTGCCTTCCTCTCTTTCTCTTTCCTTTTAT